GCTTGGAGGAAAACTGGTTCCCCTGGGGCTCAGGGCTGACTCCCTTCAGGACAGCTGTCATAGGGCTCCCTTCCGGAGCACAGGGCCTCTGGGCCCTCCGGGGCCACCAGGCCGCACCCAGAGGGCACTTCTGAGCTTCCTCCCCCCCTGCCCAACTGGCCAACCCAGCCCACTCCAGGCTTAGGGGCAAGCACAGACCTGCCGGGGCTGGCTGGGGACCATAAGTTAGAGAACACCTGTGTACTGACATGTTTGCCTGTGTGATCAGAGGAGCCGGGTCTGGCTTGTTCGCCCCCCCCCCCCCCTCAGCGATGCGGAGGGCACAGCCTCTCTACATGTGGCCTTTCTCCCAACCCAACCAGGCCCTGCAGTGACTGTCGGGGTTCCCGGGCCAGACCCGGCTATGTCTCTGCAGACCAGGAATCTGGCAGGCGGCAGCAGGCGGGAGAGCAGCTTTTCCTTCGTTAATTAGGCAACAGGGATAAACAAATTCTGGGGAGACAGAGACTCACCACTTGAAGCTAGGCTGAGAGTGGCCAGCAGTGCTGGGTGCCCGCCCATGATTCCAAGACACACACAGGGGTGGGGTGGGGGTGGGGGGGAGGGGAGTACAGCCCCAAACGGGATTGCATGAGCAGGAAGCCACATCACTCCTGGGGAAGCAGCTGGGCTTGCTCTCCGCCCGCCCCCCATCTCCATGGGCCTATCGGCCACAGGAGCCCTAAAGGAAACAGGGCCTCCCTCTCTCAGCGGCAAATCTCTGCTGCTTGCGAAGCCCATCTTCGGCCTGGTGTGAGGGCGGGGGGATCTGCTCTGTGGTGCAGGCTGGGGACCCCGGCAGCATTTTCACAGCCACCTTCCTGCCTCCACCTGAGGGCCACAGTCCCCCTTGCGGCTGGTGGGAAGCCCTCGAATGTGTCCCAGCTGGTGTTTCAACCTGCTTCTAATTAGCGATGGGAACTCGTGGGCATGGCTTCGTGGGAATCACGAATGCCACCCACTGTTTGCATCCACAGCCTCTCTCAGTACCGGGACAGGGAGTCTTTTTTATTTTCTTTCTTGTTACAGGCAGCAGTGACGTGAACCTCCATTCTGTGCCCTGCCCCCAGAGCGGTCACCACTTAGAGCTAGGTCATCTTCAAGGAGCCCTTCCCCGCTAGCTTTCAGCAGTCCACCAGCACCTCCCATGTCCACGGGGGCTTCTGGACGGCAGCCATCGTGCTTTCCAGCAATGGAGTCTCCTGGTGCCACGAAGGAGGCCCGGGGAAGAGGTGGCCACACCCAGAGGCGCTCTGGCTGCGGCACCCCCTGCTGTGCCCTCCTTCCCCCTCTGCCTGGTGTGGCGAAGGAGAACTATGAAGGCGTTCGGCAGTTGTTTTCACAGCAGCGTGAGGACTGTCCTACTGAGCCCCGCGTATGAAGATCCTTGGGACCCTGGTGCCTTTAAGGGGCTGGTGAGTGCGGAGTGTGAGGTTCCAGGGCAGCACTCACAACTGTGGTGGTGTTACAATAGATGCGGGAGTTACTGCAGCTCGAACAGCTTGACCTCCGTGAGCCCGGATGCTCAGAATGAAGTTCACCTTCCACAGGGAAGGCTTCTTGCTCACCCTTAGAACAGCATCGAGGCCACTGCAGGAATAAAACCGCCCCTCTGGGTTGAAGGGATCGGGAAGTGTCACTTTTCTTTCAGGAACAGCAACGTTTAGCGTCCTAATTCTATAGACACTCGAGGGCCTGTGGTACTGCTGTTGCTATCGCTCCCTGAAAACAGAATTTAAATAACTTTAAAAAAGATGAGGGGACTTCCGGCGTCACGGGTCCGTGCAGCTGACATTCGAGGCAGGTAATTCACGATCAGTTCAGACAGGCCACCAGCCTATCAGCTATGACCTAGACGTAAGGCAATGACCTCGACCAATTTCTCACTGGGTTCTGTTCGCTCCGCCCCAGGTGGGTAAGAAGCGCCCCCAGGTCGTCCCAAGAGAGGTCCTATCAGAAATGCAGCTCAGCTTCCTGGGCTTCCCCTGCGCCCCTGCCCACGGGTTCCCAGAGAAGCCCTAAGGCACAGCTTGGCCAAAGGGCTCCAAACCATTGCCCTCTTCTTCACCAGGAGAACCTGGAGCATGGAGGCAGCCAGCTCCTGCCTGGAGCGCTACCATCGGCACCCTCATCCAAACATGCCTCCTGGCCTCTGGACACCTGGTGACGCCGAGACCCACTGCACTCAGTCCGAGGGTTCTGGGGAATCCTGACACATGGCCAGCGGGTGTCCAGCGAGAGTCAGGAGGCGCTCATTGTCCCCTGCCAGCCCCCCCACCCTCCACCGCGCAGCACCGCAATGTCGCAGCTCCCAGCGGTGGCGAAGGACGGGGAAGGCACCAGGCTTGATCACATCCGAGAGGCCTGCTTTATTTCTTACTGGGTGACTGCATTTCAGGCCAGGGCACCCAATAACAGTCCAGTTACCTCTGTACCTCTGAACTACAAATAACAATCTGATTGGGCAAGGAACGACAGTGTCAACAGTTTATAGGGGGAAAGGGACAAGGGGGGCAGCTGAATTGTCTTAAGTGGTTTCGGGTGCTGTGAGTGGAGACGCAAGAGAAGACCCGGGACGGTTCGAAGACTCGGACCCCTGAGATGGGCTAAAAGCCAAAACCTCATGAGTGGCAAGTCAACCCAGACTCCTAGCACCGTCTGGTCTGGAGTCCACTGCCCCACAGGCTCTCCAAGGCCCTGGGATCTTGATGGAAACAAGCCGCCATTTCTTTTCCTGTGAGGAGCAGCTGGTGGGTTTGAACCTTCAACGCTGCATCTAGCCCTGGAGTGCTTTCACCAGGGCGCCACCAGGGCTCGAGGTGGGCTGAGCCTCATTGACTTCCTATCCATTTGCAATCCTGATTTCAGTTGCTCTTCCTTGTCTTCCTTTTATGGCCTGTCTCCAGCTCAAATCAGACGCCAAGCTTCCCTGGGACTAGCCCAGGGGCCCCCTGACTCAGCGGGCCCCCTCTCCCTGCCCTCACTCCCCGCCTTCGTCAGGTGTCCGGTCATTCCTTGCCTCTCTTTAGTTCTGTTTCAAAAAGAAAAGGGCATGGCAGGGGGTGTGTGGGGTGGGGGGTTGCTGACCACGGGTGGCTCCAGCAGGCACCTCCACAGAGCCCCAAGCACCCCCCGGCACAGAGATGCACTCCGAGGCGTGTGCCATTTAGGGCTGCTCCTCTAAGAACTTGGGGCCCACTTTCTTGGGAAGACGTCCCAGGGGAAGGACCCCTTAACAAAATTCCACGGGAGTCAGGGTCGTTCTTATGAGAAGGCAGCAGCTTAGGGGGAGCGGGGGTCCACACCAAGGGAAAGACGATAGACATGGCAGAACAGGATGCCCTCCTGATACGGGAGGAGCGCAGTGCAAGGAAGTGATGTGATTACTATAGGAATCATTATCACCGCTAGTCTTCTCACCAGGCGGAAAAATACACACACGTCCACACACCCATGCTTGCTCTGGGACATGGGGAGCCCCCGCCCAAGAACCCGCTGCTGCCAAGCTGCTGCTTTCTCTCTCAGGACCAGCGACTCGGTCCCTTAGAAAATGATGTTCTCACCAACAACCCACAGCTGATGTCCCGCCGAGATATGGCCCTGCTCTGCTCCACCCGCAGGGACAGCTACCAGTGAGCAAGTCCCCTTCTGGGGAGCTTGTGCTTCGAGGGGGTGAGCTGATGCAGAAGTGGGAGCGAACCAGGAGTGAGCCCCTGTCCCCTAACGCCTCCCTTGGGGGAAGAACCCCCGGCACACACATCACCCACCAGACACTAGTGACCCTTCTAGAGTGTTGCCGTCCCAGTCCTGTCTGGGCTGTTCCACCACCCCCTCCCGTCCCAAGCAGAGTCTCCATACACGGTGGCTCTTCGGCTACTGAAAAGGGGGGCAGGGGGTGCACCCTAGGGTGCTAGCTGAGGAGTTTAATGCAGAAAACAAGGCACCGCAGAGAGGTTGGACGCTTGGGTTGTGTGACTCAGGGCACGTTGGTTGAGAAAGTTCGAGGGCAGAGAGAAAGAGGAGGAGGAGGAGGAGGAAGAGGAGATTGAGTTTTAAATAACGTCTCGGGGGGCCGGGCCCACTAGATGGGCTCTGGCTTGAGCTTTTCTGCTAGGAAGTCATTCACAAAGGCCTCCACAATGGCGGGCGTGATCTCCTCCACGTCCTTCACGTACTTGGCTCGGGCGGACATGTCCAGGATGGTGAGCAAAGGGGCGGCCTCCGGCAGGTTGGTGTAGTCACGCAAGGAGTCGGTCATGTCGTCCTGGAAGCCACCAGAAGGGAGAGAGGGACTGTCACAGAAGACCCCGAGCCCCAGACCCTGGACCCCGGGGCCCCCCAGACGGCAATGGGAATGGAACCCCTCACCATCTTAGGGACAAGGCTCTCCTGCAGAGATGGGCCCTTGAAACAGGGAGCCTAGCACCTGCCCTTCTAGTGGCGGTGGGAGGGGAGGAAGGAATAGTTGCCAACTAGCAGAGGGGTGGTACTCTGTATCACCCAGTGCACCTTTCCTCCCTCACATGTCCCAGGGGGCTTCGCCAGAGCCCCTATCCTAATGCCACTTCTCCATGGAGTTTTTGTGTTTTGGAAGCCGTGTATTTTTATGATCTGGCTTTTATCATATTTGCGTCTGATGGAGTAGTTTGGCAGTCAACCGTCAATGATTTGCGGCCCAGTTGTGGATTACCTGCGGCCAACCTGGGCCTCGACTACCGGAAGGGTTTTCAACTACAAGAGCTCCCTTTGGCTGCAGCGAGGGCGGGAGTTGCACTGCCAGACAGCGCTACTTAAAATACTGTCTGACACTGAGTCCAACATCCCCAGGGGCTGCCTAATGTCCCTTCAGTGTCTTGTTCAAATGAGAAAGGCAAACAGGGAACCCTGCAGGCAAGAGAAAGGACTGGTCAGGGGGCCACCGTGGGAGACGCAGGCTCTCACTGTTGAGCCCTTGTAGGTAACAGAAAATGGACACCCCACTCCCATCCCTAGGTGGCCTCACTGGTAAAACGCAGTGTTGGCCAGGAGACAGGAAACAGAGTCCACTTGTTTCTGGGGTCAAACATTCTTTTCTCAGAAGGAACATCTCCGGGAAGATTTCTGGGGATGGTCTTGTTTGTGTTCTCTTTCTGGAAACATCCAGGTACTTCCCAACCAGGCTGGGTGGTTTCACACCTCAGGCACATCAGTCCCCACCCCCACCCCATGTCAGTTAATTAAAAACCATGATAAACAGCAGGGAGACACCTAGGCTTCCAATTCCCACTAGGAGGTCTAGACTAGGCCCAGCACTCCATTGCGCCCGCCTCCTGCCCTGCGTCCTCTGGGCGAGCTACGGGAAGATGGAATTTGAGCCACGGGAAGATGGAATTTAAATGTCCCTTAAAGCTTCAGAGCTTAGAATGGGAGTCAAGGAGTCTCACTCATCACAGCCAGTTGGAGCACAAGGCCGGGCCAGGAGGGGATGCGGCTAGGGGAGCCATGGGAGTGGCTTGGCACTGGAGCAGAGACCACTTCCCGTTCCTGGTCCAGGGTCCTCCCACCTCTCCCCGTTGGGCCTGAGTGAGTCCACTCACTGGACAACCAGGACAGCTGAGTTAGAGCCCTGGGTCCTGGCGTCTCAGCAACCTCACATGCAGCCCCCTCCCCATACAGCACAGTGGATTTCAGGGCAGTCCCTAACACCCGGGGCTGATGTGTGGGGTGAATGAGCCCGCCGGCAGTGCCACCCAGCCTGGGATAAGCCCCTCACCCTCTCTGAGAGCTGTGTTTCCAGCGCAGAGGGGGGGGAATGGATAAGAAACTGGGGAAGCATGGCCCTGCCTTTTCAGCCGCGGGGGCAGGGTTCCCCGACCTCCCTCTGCCCCTAGCACGCCCCCCCCTTCTGTTCTGCACCCACTGAATGCATTCGGAGTGCCTCCCAGCGCTTTGTGGCTGGGCCTTGGGAAGCTGCTTTGTTCCCGCAGCCCTGGGGACAGCGCAGGGTGACTTCAGTGGCCTGCAAGGGGGCCACAGGGCTTAGTGGGGCAGCGGCTATTGACGAGGGATGAATGGGTGGATCAGGGTGTTTGTGGCTGCTGCCTCATCCTCCCCACACCTCCCTTGAGAGACCAACAGCTTGAAATGGGCAGGGGGCGCTGACCAACTCAGGGTGCGGGTGGGTGGGCCGGGGCCTGGAGGGCTACCGGAAGTGTGCTCATCGGTCACTGGCTTATGGGAGGGGGCACCCAGGTGGGGAGGGGCAGTGGAGCATGCGTGGAGCAGCCTGGAGGGGGCGGGGGTCGATGCAGGGTGTCACGCCTGCACAGACTGCAGCCATCGTGCAGATTCGCGGTGCCTGCTGGTGGAAGCGTTCTCAACACGGTTCTACGTGCTAGAGCCGGCTCTTAGGAAGGGATCGCCCCGCTTGTCTGGCCTAGCTAGAGACCCCAAGACAGGCTTTTCCCACCTGCCGGGGTCCCTGGACGGAGGCAGCAGGAGGAACCAACCACGGGGTCACAGCATGGCACATGAAGCACCTGCTTCTGACTGAGCTGGAGGGGACCCATGCATCCCCAGGACGCACGGCCTGTGTGGAGAGAGCTGTAGCCCCAGAGGCCGCCCGCTGCAAGAGCGAGATAATGGAGCGGTAGGGCGGGAACGTCCCCTGGCTTCCCCTGGCAGCACAGCAGGCCTGGGCCCCAGAGCCCACGGCACGCACCTCCCCAGCCACGAAGAACAGAAGCGGTGCCTCCTCCTCCTTGGCTTTGTACTTGGCGATGATTTTCTCAGCGATCGGCTGGATCAGCTGCTTGGCCGCCTCGGACTCCCCGTCGTCTTCGGAGTCTGGTGGGAGAGAGCGCAACTGATCCAGCGGCTCCTGCAGGCCAGGGCCTGCGGGCCTGTGCTACAGAAGCCCCTGAACGGAAACAACTGTCCCCAGGAGACCCAGTGCACACTCGTGTACACACACACACACACACACACACACACACGCTCATGCACACTAGCAGCAGGGCAGTATCCCCTTGTGCCCCGCTCACCACCCTGACAGGCACTAAAGGTTCTCTTTGCCCAGTCCTTCCCAAACCCATGGTGGGCTGACTGTCTCCTATGTCAGGCCCCAAGGTCCGGTGGTTTTCCACTCGGTCACAGGATGAGAAGCCGTGACCTGGGATCACTGACTCCTCAGGAAAGTGGCTGAGAACTGGGAGTAAGGGGTCCAGGACTGGGGTCCAGTTATGGCAGCTTTGGTGGCTGCAGGGAGGCAGCATGAGGCCAAGTCACAGCTGGCAGCCAGAGCCACTCACTGATGGCCTGTGAGAACACCCCACCCAGCCCCTTGCAGGCAGGCGCCTCCCAGGACAAGAGCAGCAGCCCCAGGTGGTAAGAGCAGGTCCCGCAGAGGGATCGCACCCATGATGCTCAGGGCCCACAGAGTGCAGGCTTGGCAGTGGCCCCGCTGGCCCCACACTCACTTAGCTCTGTGAGGCTGGGCAACTGGATTTGCCTCTCTGAGGCCCCATGCCCACATCTGTGGGGAGCCAGTGAAGTTCGGGACTGTCACTTGTTTCAGAAGTGCTCCCCAGGAAGCAAGCCCTGCAGGAGGCTCCCCAAGGCTGAAGGGTTCCCCAAGGCCACCCTTCCCTAGGGGCCTTTCAACACTGAGCACAGAACCAGCCTGCAGGTGAAGTTGTTGAAGAGCCTCCTTCTTGGGAGACCCCCCCACCCCCACCCAAAGCAGACTTCCAGAGAATGGGGAGCCTGTTGCACACACTCGAGGGGCCCCTGGGGAGCAGGCGTGTCAGCGTGTCAGCTGTGACCCTGAGAGCCTCCAGCACTTTAGGTTGGAGCACAGCCAAGTCCTGAGGCCCTTGGCCAACACTTGCTTCGTTTCCACCAGGAACTGGGGTCACCCCCACGGGGCTGCAGGGAGCCCAGGGGGTATGTCCCTGTGTTCCTGAGCCAAGGCCGAGCATTACTGAGCATGGGCGTCAGGATCGTCAGAGGGAGGGAGGGGCAGTCAGCTACCAGGGCAGATGAGCCAGTGTGAGGCAGCTAGTGCAGCCCTGGAGCCCAGGTAATCTGGAAGTAGCCTGGGGTGAGCCTTCGACCAGGGGGACCCAGCCACCTGGGCTACAGTCCCTGCAGCCCACCTACACCTAACAATGGCCTGGAGCCAGGGGCTATGGCCTGACCGGTTCTCCCCCAGCCCCGCCCCCACAAGGAGCAGCCCTGAAGCAGAGCAGTGCAGCCAGCACACTGAGGGCTCCCCAGCACACCTCCCACAGGGCAGGGCCATGAATAAATCATTGGGGTCAAAAGCAAGGCTGCCAGGGAGAGACAAAGACCTGGGCTCGGCGGCATTGTTCGTGACAGAAAGCAGCTGTAGGGACAGACAGCTCCTCAGTGAGGTCCATCTGTTCCGTCCCTCCCACCGGCCCGTGAGCGGCGGCGGCGTACCGACAAAAAGGACGAGGCAGGGGCCTTCGTTCAGCTGCACGGCGTTGGAGTCGGAGAGCTCCAGCACGGGTTTGGGGTGCCACGGGAACTCGCGGCAGTCCTCGTCGTTCAGCACCTCCACCCGCCCCTGCCGCGTGATCACCTCCCCCTGTGGGTCCAGCACGATGAGCGTGGGGATGCCTGCAAGACAAGGCATCAGCGTTTACCGGAGGGGGAGGGCTCATAGGACAGGGCACACCAGGGACATGATAAGGCAGGGCCAGGATCAAGAGCCCCTGCGGCGAGTCAGAAAGCCCAGGCTTGGAACCCAGGCTCAGTGCATCATGTCACGTGGGGAGCAAGTCACATCACCCCTGTGGGGCTCAGTCTACTCATCCGGTCCCCATGCATCGAAAGAGCTTAGCACAGGGTCCTGATAAACAAAAGCAATCGATACTTGGAAACGATCATCACGATTACAGGGAATCCTGGTGGAGCTACAGCTAAGCCTTCGGCTGTTAACTTAAAGGTCGGCAGTTTGGATCCACCCAGCACCTACATGGGCCATGGGCGGGTCTGCCTGGTGGTCTGCTCTGGTCAAGGCCCCAGGCTAAAGGACCTCGGCAGTTCTCCTGTGATGGCATTCTCATCACCACGGTTACAAGTAGAAACCCCGGGAGCAGGGGCCTTGCCCTCACCTGCATTACTGCTATGGCCGGGGGGGCCCCAGACACAATGGGACCCACCACTGCCACGCCCCAATGTGTTGTGGGTCGAATGGCTATGATCCGCGGGGTTTTCAACGGCTGATGTCCAGAGCAGGCTGTCATGCCCTGCTTCCTGGTCTTAAGCCTGTGAACTTCACTGAAACCTGCTCAGCACCCCAGCAACACCAGACCCTCAGTGGCCAACGGGCAGTGGCCATCTATCCGAGAAGACAAAACACCAAACGCACTGCCACGGATGCGGGCTCACGGGGTCCTGTGGGACGTGTTAGCAGCCGCGTTGCAGGAGTCTGAGTCTGTAATTTCTGGTAACCCAGCAGACTGCCTCACCTTCCTTCTGGGGGACAGGCAGTGGCGTCACACTATAGGTCTTTCGGGTAGCACCCCGGCACCTAACCTGCCACACACAAGGACTCCTCAACTTGTCTGTAACACCCGCCCCTCCCCAGACAAAACCCAAACCAAAAAACCTCACTGCTTCCTTGTTGGGTACAACGCATACCCTGTTTCCCCAAAAGGAAGACTCCCCCGAAAATAAGACTGACTCACAGTTTTGCTTCTCACTGAAATATAAGGCCCCCCCGAAAATAAGACTCCGGACTGTAGCAGCGTAGCTGGAGCAGACAGGAAATGCGAGGTCTCTTTTAATAAAACAATAAATGTGTACTGTATTCTTCTTCATGGAAAAGTGAGACATCCCCTGAAAATAAGACCTAGCGCATCTTTGGGAGCAAAAATTAATATAAGACACTGTCTTACTTTTGGGGAAACGGTAGAATCTTACGGGAACAGATAGGCCTCATTCTCCTCACCCCCCAGGAGCAGCTGGTAGGTTTGAACTCCTGACCTTGTGGTTAACAGCCCAGAGCTTAACTCCCAGGACCGCCAGGGCTCCTTAGTTTGCATGGGTCTGAAAGCTAACAAGGTGGTGTACAAATGTGCAGGGACACTGGCAAGCACATACTTGCTATTAGTCAACACAAACCACCAATGGACAGACAGACAGGATCGAGGCCTGGCACAGACTCGGAAAGGGGCCCTGGAGCCCTGTGGGGCAGGGGCCAGACAGTGCTGCAGCAGAGGGTGGTGGGCTGCGATCAAGCAAGTATAGCTTTTCTGCTACCCTCCTGGGAGGTTCCGACACCCTACCTCACAGTCCCCGGAGGATGCACACCTCCACTGCTCGCTGGCTGGTCAGAGTCCTGGGTTGGGGTGACTAGTACATGACAGAGGCCCCGAGGCATACACCCCAAAGCCCTAGTCTCAGAGGATGTCCTAGCTTTCCACCTCCTGCCCTCTCGACCCCCAGCCATCCGCCAAGCCACAGAGGCAGCCTCAGGCCTGTCTTGGGGACACATCTCTCAGAGCAGCCTGTCCCCTCCCCCCTCAGACACTGTCGCCCCTCCCCCGAGTTGCCCAGCGCCTGAATTTTATATGGGCCAATGAAAGCCTGAGCCATTTAATATTTATAGATTCCAAATCATTCCGTCGGTAATTTGCTCCACTGACATTTCACATCTCCGTGGGGGGTGGGGGTGCAGGGGGTACGCCACAGTACTAGGAATACAGCTCTGGTGTTTGGTGACCTGCTGTGGCAGCCGGCACAGCAAGTGTGGCTGTGGGGGGCTGTCTGCACAAGGAATAAAAGCGCCCATTATGTTCACACCTATTAGGAGAGGGGGCTGGATGTGTGAGGGGCCTGGCCCGGAGAGCTATGGATTCCCAAGGATGGTCCTCCCTCCCCATCACACATCAACACACGCAGGGGGCTGGGGACACACAGCACACGCTTGCTGCAGAATGGGGACCCCCGAGAAGTTAGTGGTTCTGTGCTGGGAAGACTGGACTGGGAGACCTGGGTCTGGCATGATGAGTGTTCTAGCCCCTGGGGCTGGGGACTGGGGCTTCAGGACCAACTGGCCCGAAGTGGGGTGGGGGTGGGGGGAGAGGGGCAGGCTGGCTTCAGCTAGGGGCCCATCACAGGACCAGCCAGCTGGGCTGAGCCCCTCTGCATGGTGACGCCTGCTCTGAAAACTGCTTTGGCAAAGCTCTGTAATTGGCGAGGAGTCCGTGTGTCTCTGAAATCGGACAACTGCAGCTGTGAAGTGAAAGGGGAGCCTGCCCATTGCCCTGATGCGCTGCCTGGCGCTGGGACCTGCGATGCTGAGTGGGTCCCTGGGGGACAAGCGGGCAGAGTCCAGGGAAAAGGGGACACCTGAAGGCGAGGCCACCCTGAGCTGCCCCGTGGCTGCAGCCTCTTCAGGTCCAGCCATGGGAGGAGCCCCAGGTTGCAGCTGCAGGGCAGCCAGCTGCTCCCTGCCTCCGGCCTTCCCTATGGCCACTTGGCAGCAAGGCCTCCTCTCTAGGCACCAAAGCCCACGATGACAGGGTATGGGCCAGGCCGCACGTGTGACTATGAGTATGTGTGAGGGGGTTCATGTGCGCTGTGTCAGGATCCCGCCTGCTCGTGGGCAAGCATGGCCCTGGAGCCCAAGGCGGTGGGGCGCTGTGTGTGCACACGTGCCTGCATGTGCCCACACCAGCTTCCGTGAGTTTTCCCTCCGGTGTGAACCAGGCGGCAGGCTGAGAGCTCCGCATCCCACATTGTCCTGGGCTGGGTGTCATCTCCGAACAGCGGGGTGTGGTAAGTCCGATTCTCCTTATTTCACAGAAGGGCACACTGAAGCTCCTAGGGGAAGCACCCGACCCACGGTCAGCTAGCCGGTAAGCAGGGGGTCAGCTGGGGCCGAAGTAGTTGCTCGTTCTCCCAGTCTACTGGCTGAGGGTAGGGCGGGTGTCTCTTAGCCAAAGCAAAAGAAAGCCCACAGACCTGCAGCAGCTTGCACGGCGCCCCTCTCTTCTGTCCTGCCCCGGGGAGGGCGAAAGTTGAGAGACAATCAGCTCTTCTCTGCCCCGCCCCATGCACTCCCTTTCCCCCCCCTCCCCCAACCCGAGGAAGGGTTTCCCAAGGAGAGACTTCCAGTGGGAACTGCAAGGGAAGGGGCAGTGTCTCGGAGATGCCTTCCCACATCTGCTCCCTTTGCACTTGTCCTTGGCTGGGGGTGGGGAGAAGCCCACAGAGAGTTCTAAGGAAGACCCAGGCATGTTACTGAACTTCTCCAGGCCCCAGTTCCCCATCAGCTGTAAAACAGGGAGAATCATGTTGCCCAGCCCCTTTAAGGAAGCCCTGGTGACGAGTTGGACAGCTAACCCTAAGGTCAGCAGTTAGAAACCATCAGCCCCTCCACAGGGGCAGTTCTGCCCTGCCCTGTGGGGCCACGGTGAGTTGGAATGGGCAGCGGTGGGTTTGTGTACTTTTCTACGGCTTTTCTGAAGATCGCGGCACAATCGACAGACAATGCTGCTTGGCAGCGTGCCCGCGGTGTGGTAACCAACTCCACCGCCACAATGGAGAAATGACTCGGGCGCCCGGAGACCCTGTGGGTTTCAGGGGAGACCTGCCCGCCCAGATTTCTTTCCCAGGACCGTGATCCGAGCCAAGGAGCCTGGGAGGTGCACATGGCTGTGAACCTAGAGGTTGGTGGTTCAGATGCGGGGCAGGCAGGCGGCTCTAGAGAAATTGTCGCTGTGAAGATTACAAGCAAGAAAACCGTAGGGACCTGGTCCTTTCTGTCCAGGCACGGGTCGCAGAGTTGAAATCAACGCTATGACAGTGGGTGTGGTGTGGCTTTTCAGTGTTACCAAACCGTATCGCCAGGCCTCTCTTCCGTGGCAAGCAGCTGAGCGCACACTGCATGTTGGCAAACAGGGAAGGGCTCCAGGAACATGTGCTATGATGAGAAAGTTCATTATTCTTGTGATCCACTAAGTGGACCATCTGCCTCGTCCATCGGCAGCAGGACCAATGGCTGATGGCTAGCCCTGGTGATGGCGACGGGAGGCCTCACAGCAGATGGGAGAAGCTAGCTTTGCCACAGGGAGGGTTCTGTGGACTCAGCTGGGGTAGGCACTCCACCACTGCGCTGTCCCAACCTTAACGGTGGGCTTGAAACATACTCTTTGACCCCAGGGTGAGTTTCAGCCCCAATCCTGTCTGCTCCCCTGCCACAAGCAGTGTCCGAGAACCCCGCCCCCCCCACCAGTTCTCTCAAAGCCCAGAGGTCTAAGAAAACTACCCCACGTCTCCTCCTGGGAGGGGGCATGCACGGGGCACCGGGGAAGCCAGGGGACACACAGACCTAGATGTCCCAGAGCAGAGGGCGGGGTGTGGCGCTGAGCCTTCCAAGGCCTGAGGGGTGGGAAGGACAACC